TACTATTGAAAGTTTAACGATTACGGAATTTAATAAGGATGACATATTAAACGCTTTAGGAGGATTACAAAGATATCGAAAATTAACAAATATTTATTGCAGTTGCTCTGAAATAACTTTCCTACCAAATTTACCCAACTCCTTAATTAAACTCAGTTGTTATTACACTAAAATAGATAGCTTACCAAATTTACCCAACTCCTTAACGGATCTACATTGTTCTAATACTCCAATAACTATCCTACCAAATTTACCCAATTCCTTAACAAATCTCAATTGCTCTTATACTGAAATAACTATCCTACCAAATTTACCCAACTCCTTAAAAATACTCGATTGCTCTTCTACTAAAATAACAATCCTACCGAATTTACCCAACTTCTTAACTAGACTTAATTGCTCTTATACTTCAATAACTATCCTACCAAATTTACCCAACTCCTTAAAAATACTCTATTACTCTAAGACTTCAATAATCCTACCAAATTTACCCAACTCCTTAATTAAGCTTGATTGCTCTAATACTTCATTGACTATCCTTCTAAATTTACCCAACTCCATAACGGAACTTAATTGTTCTAATACTTCAATAACTGTCCTACCAACTTTACCCAACTCCATAACGAAACTTGATTGCTCTAATACTGCAATAACTATCCTACCAAATTTACCCAACTCCATAACGGAACTTGATTGCTCTGTTACACAAATAGCTATCCTACCAACTTTACCCAACTCCATAAAAAAACTTAATTGTTCTAATACTAAGATAACCATCCTACCAAATTTACCCAAATCCTTAACATCACTAATGTATTATAACACTAAATTAAATATCCTGCCACCTAAAGAAAGTGGAAACAATCTTGTTGACGAAGTTATTAGATATTCACGAATTAATACTCATATATTAAATCAAATGGATTTTGTTTCTTATGATCAATTCAAAGATATTCAATTTATAGCTGAAGGAGGATTTAGTAGAATCTATAGAGCTGTGTGGTGGAATACGAAGGAAGATTATAAAATCGTTGCCCTAAAACAATTAACCAATTCTATAAATATTTCTAATAAAGAATTAAATGAGGTATTTATTTAACTAATAACATTCTTTATTACAATTTGATATACTTATATTTGCATCAAAAATATAGCTTTGGAGGTATCTGGACCTTAATAATGGATCTCTTATACCTGATTATATAAATAAATATTATGGAATCACTCGCGATCCTATTTCTAAAGATTATGTAATAATTATGAAATATTGTGAAGCAGGTGATTTAAGAGATTATCTAACAAACCATTTTAATAATCATGAATGGTGGGATAAGTTAGATTTATTAAATGATATTATTAAAGGTCTTGAATATATTCATGATAAAGGGATTATTCATCGGGATTTTCATAGTGGGAATGTCCTTTGTTATGGAGTTAGTAAAGTTCTAATAGGTGATTTAGGAATTAGCAAATCAGCCAAATCAGCAGATGATAATGATGATGATAAAATTTATGGTATTATTCCTTATATTGCTCCAGAAATCTTTAATGGACAAAATTATACTATAGCTTCAGATATTTATAGTTTTGGCATGATTATGTGGGAGTTAATGACAGGTAGAAGGCCTTTTTGGGATCAAGATCATGATACAGAACTTATTATTAGAATATGTGATAATATGCGTCCACCAATTGTTACAGATGCACCTGAGGGTTATATTGAATTAATGAAAAAATGTTGGCATTCTGATCCAAATAAAAGGCCAACAGCTAATTATTTAAAAGAAAAAATTGATGATATGTTACATAATTCATATATAAATTTTACACCAATCGAATTTTCATCAGATATTGGACCTGTATTCACAAATCATTCAGGAGCAGTCTATAAAAGTAGATCATTAAGTAATATGATAAGATCTGCAATATTCTCAAAAAGTCAATCCATTACAGAATTAGGTAATATTATATACTTACATTAATTAAAAAAAAATAAAATTTATGAAATTTTATTTAATTGTTTAGATCCATTTGATCCATTTGTTGATTATCAAAAAAATATTATATCCCCCAATGGTATATAATTATATAAATGATCATTTTTTAAATTTTTAAATTTTATTGATTACTATATTTTTATTTTTTTTTTTTTGAAAAATAAGATAAAAAAAGATTTACTGATGAATTAATTATTGATAAAAACAATAAAAAAAGTAGATTATCCGATAATGGTAAGTATCTTATTTGCAATGTGATCGATATTTTATATATTTTTTGTACTAGTAATTATATTATATTTGTGCATAATGTTCTAATATTGAAACGTATCTATATCAGTCAATGACTTAAAAAAAATATATATTTACTCCTAGAATATTAAAGATTATTTTGTTTTTATTAGATTATGTAACACAAGAATTTGAAATGGATATTAATGCGAATTTTATGAACACTAATGAATCTAATAGAGGTATTGTAATTGAACATATTCATTTTAATTATATTTTATAACTAATTTGTAAATTAACATACATTGTTAGAATATTTGACCAGGGAAATTGACCTTGATATTAATACTTCAGAACTTTAAGTCTATGGACTATAATTTTCATCAAAAATTTTCATGACTTAACCTATATTCATATAGAAAAACATAAAATACGAAATTATTCTTTTTACTTTCTTGTTGCGAGAGGATTTAAAGTTCGATAGATGATTCTTCCTTACTTCATATCATTTTTAGTCAAATGGTCATATATTCTACAATCTTTTTAAAGATTATGGCAGTAATTTTGTGTCATGTGTTTTAATAACCACTATTCTTTAGAAGTTAGAACTGCCCTAAAATCTTTAACCAGTTTCAATCTCTACTATACTTGTTTGATATCGTTCATGAATATATACAATACTTTAGTTTTGTGAAAATAAAATGATTATTTTAACGAAAATTTGTAAAAATATTTGAGTTTTCATTGTGTCCACATTCAAATAATAATCCTTTTACATTTAACAAAAGTTTGCTTTTTTACGGTTTTGGTTTGTTAAATGATATAATCTAATCACTGGTTTCGCGATAGATTAAGGTACTGATATTAGTTAGTTTTTCACAAGAAATTTCTTATAATCACTTTTTGGCAATTCATTATTGCCATACGATCGACTATTATATGATTGAAGAAAATTATGTCATGACACACATTTGGCCAAGTTTCAATTCCGACATAATTGGAGAAATGCTTTCAAATAGAAATATATTTGGGCAAGCGAGAAGCTTTCAAAAAATCTTTTCCGAAAGCAAGAGTGATGTTAGTATGATATATGCGAGTGTTGGTTGTGTAGGATTATATGTACATTATCGGAACCAATAAAAATTATATCAAAATTTTTGGTAACTGAGTGTATGGTGTGAGATATTGCTCGGATATTTTTTTTATATGTTGTCTTTTTACTTTCGCAAGATTATGAATAGATAAAAAACCTGACGCAGTATGTTTATAATTCGTGAAGCATACATTATAGGTTGTAGCGTTGTATAAACCAAGCAAAATGCACGCGTATACATTTCATGATTCTTAAAATTTAAATTTTTTATGCAAGATAAAACAATAAAAAGAATTTATCATAAAACACCACGATCACAAAATGATAATTTTATTAAATGATCGAGAACTTATGAAAATTGCGGCGCGTACAATTGTTCCAAACTTAACGGATGCTTTTGCTTAGGTCGTCTCTGTGGTTTTCACAATAGGTATTAATCACTATGATAAAGAAGACATTTGTCATTTAGGCGTTTGCAGGATTATAAACCCGGAGGAACTTGTAAAATCATCTTTAGAGACATAATTTATTAGTGTAAAAAATTAAATGTAAAGTAATTTATTGCTCTACTCTTTCATAATAATAAGTATTTGAATAACCATTGTATTTTTTTTCACATTTACGTTGTTCTAAACGATTTATGAATCAATACATTGAGATTTAATTTTATGCATCCTTATCTGTTATATTAATATTTTTTTACATCAAATTTTCGGGTTTAAGTTCACAATTTCTTTATATACTTTTCAATTTGCATTTACAAGATAAAGATTTACAAATATTGCTCATTTTTCAATGCTTTGTAGGTCAACAACGTACTCTTTTAATAAATATTTTAATTTTTTCATCTCCTTGGTAATATCTTCTGGTAACTGTAACTTATTAATTTTATCATCTATATTGTCTTTAATTTCTTGTTTGATCCCATAGCAACGTGATTGTACAAATCCCCATGGATGGATTAACGATGCGCCTAACACATAGAATGCCGATACTAACCCCCAAGCACCTGCGTTATAAAAAACATGGTGTTACATTAACTTAGGATTCAGTGTTCACATTGAATACTTTACTTACCTCCGATAACTCCAAAAATGCTCACGTACTAAATCAATTTACGTTATATGATTAGTATGAAATTATAAAAAAAATTTCAATAAAAAATCTATCTACCGTTCTAGATCTTCGAAATATATTAGAAAACAAAAAAAAAAAATCGGTTGGCAAAGAGAAAAATTTGGCAAATATACAAAAAAAAATTAAAAATAAACGTACATACCTTTGTTCGGTTTCAATAACGTTAACAAATGAATTTGGTCTGACTAGGATAATGCTAATATAATCTTCGGCTTGAACTTCTTCAACATCAAGAGGGAATATCTCTACGCGAATTTTTTATTTTAAAAGAAGAAACTTGCTTTTCTTTTTCAAAAAAAAGAAAAAATTAATGGCTTACTTACGATTCAATAATGCTTTGCATAAGCATTTTCTTTGTAATCTAAAAACATTCCAAAATTACTTCGCCAGTTTGGAAAAATATTTTTCCGTTTATATTTCGTAAAATGTACGAGATTTAACTTTTTTTTAAAAAAAAAAGTTAAAACAGAAGGAAATATTTTGAATCTAAAAAATAAAATAAACAAAAAATAAAAATATATGAACATACCATTCGATTTGGCATTACAAACAAATTACTAAATAATATATTTCGTTCATTATTTGTTGATTGTGAGACATTTAATATTGTTAAATTTAATGTACTTTTCGATAACTTTAAAGGGTTATTTTCTAAATAATTTAATTTTCGTTATTTAAAATAGTATCAATTACTAACAATCTAATATGCATAAATTATAGGATTTCTCGCCTACCTGAATCAAAAATGTAAGCATAAGGTGGCGAGGGGTCAAATTTAGAAGTATTAAAGTTTGGATCATCAATCACTATCGTTAATGCCAGATTATTTAAGCGGATTGCATTTAGTTTAGGGAAAGTAAGTAAAGTTGAATTATCATTTAAAGAAAAATATCCTCGATATGCCACTTGAATATATTGTGGAGAAGTCACGTATTGCATACAAGTTTCATTTACGATCCCACCATAAAAATCTAAGAATTTAAATAAATTAGAATTATTTGAACATTTATCGTTGATTAAAAAAAATTGAAGCAGAATACCATTATCGATCCACGTGAAAGTGCAATAAATTTGAAAAGGATTATAAAATAAAATCACGACATCTATTGTTTCGTTTTTGTCACGATTAATTTATGGTGGCTTGTTCTTTAAACATTTTATCATTTTTTTTAGTTATTTACCGGGAATTGCAAGAGAATCCACGGGAATTTCCGAAGTTATAATAGTAGGAAGTTCATTATTCACATCAATTATTAACATCGCGATATACATGCTATAATTATAAGTAGCGTCAATCTTCGCATATTATGAACCAATTTAGGTTCTGTTTTGCGTTGACTTCTAAGCAAATCCTCCAGAATCATTCTTATCAAAAAAATTTTGTTTTTTAAAAATAAAGTAATAAACGAGACACATATATATGATTACAACTTGATATGGTACTGGTTTAGGAACTAACCAAATATTTAACGCTAATCTTAATAAAATAATTACCTCAGAGCCTTATTTTAAGCCCTGTTCTGTGCCTGTTCCTGTTCCGTTAAAAATATTTACTGAATTTTGATTGGTAACAACGTCACCACTGTTCCGCTAACCAAATGTAGACAATCATATTAACCAATGCGAACTTTTAGTAGTATTTGCAAACCATATTTCAATATTAAAGGGGATATTTCTATCCAACTGTTCATGAAGTTTGATTGATTAAACATGTTTGTGAAATTTGGAACAGGAACAACAGAGGTAAGAAATTAGAGACTTTAAAAAAAATATCAGGTGAAATTTCGTGTTCGTCACGTTATTCAGGTAAAGTAATTGATATACTGTATTCTTCTCTTAATTTGTTTCGTATGTTAAAATCATTTATTTAGGTACCAATCGTTATTGACATCAAGCTCGTGTAACGAATGGTGTGAACCGCAGTATTCGACTTATTTTGGTTACAGTACGATTTCCCGAAAGCCACTTTCCCGAATATACATTTGACCCATTTGACCGAAGCCACTTTCCCGAATTCCAGTATCCCGAAGCCCGATTTCCCGAATCCTAATATCCCGAATCTTAACGGGGCCCGATTTCCCGAATCCTAATATCCCGAATCTTAACGGGGCCCGATTTCCCGAATCCTAATAACCTGAATCTAAACGAAACCCGATTTCCCGAATCCTAACATCCCGAATCTTAACGGGGCCCGATTTCCCGAATCCTAATATCCCGATCATGATCACCAAACAATATCTAAAATATTTGATTGTTTTAAAATGTGACGAAATTATTTTAAAATATTCGAAATTGTTCCTAAAATGGAAATTTTCACTCTCTTAATTTCGGTCTTTTAAAAATGTTTTTTTCTTTATTTTTTTATAGTTTTGTTATATTATTACTATGAAAGAATAAAATATTAATAGAATTATTTGTAATAGATATTTTATTTACAATTATTGTAAAATTACAATATTTCTTTATCAACTAAAGTGTAAATTTTTTCATTCGTCTTATTTTCTTTATTATAGTTTAACATTATATTAAACAACATAACCATGCACCTGAAGCAAGCCGAACTAAAACACTTGATATAATTAAGAAATCAGCATTGAATACAAATGATCAACCAATCGCCAATATTCATCAAAGTTCATACTCCTACCTGCCAAATAGACAAGCTTTAGTAAAGCAATTTTCACGTATTAGGAGTAATAATAAGCCAGCATAGCCACAATCATTAGAAGACATTAATGTTCCTATTAAATAGCATACAACTATTAATGGGTAACAAATTTTAGCAAAAGATATAAATTTTAATAAAGAAAGAATAATAATTTTTTGCATAGAGTTTGATCTTCAACATTTGTAAGATGCTGAATATTTGATTATGGATGGGAACCTTCAAAACGGTACCAATTCTATTTCAGCAAATGTATATAATACATGCATTAGTTGGTGGTGAAAATAATGTATGTGTTTTACCCATGGTGTATGCATTAATGACAAATAAGTCAGAAGAAAGTTATACTCAATTATTTCAAGCGTTGATAACTCTAGGTGAAGAAGCTGATCTAGTCCTGAATCCAACTTTAGATCTTACAGATTTTGAGCAGACAGTTATAAATGTAATTAATGATGAATTTTCAGAATCCGTTCATAAGTGTTGCTTTATTCACCATGTCAAAACCTTTGGAAAAAAATCAAACTTCAGGATTATCAAATGAATATGGTAATAATGAGGGGTTTAGTATAAAATTACGTTATCATACGGCTCTTGCATTTCTACCATCTACTGAAATCCCAGATTCATTTAATCAAATCAAGCCTCTAATGTCTTCAAATGCACAAGTAATTGTGCAATATTTTGAAAATGATTATGTTCTTAGGAGAGTTAAACGAGTTCATATAAATAAATTTGAAACCTGAAATCCACCATTATTTCCACCAGATCTTTGGTCTGTCTATGAACTTATCGAGAATGGTTATCCTCGAACATAAAATGTGGTTAAAGATTGGCATCAGCGATGGCTTACTTTAATTGGAAAAAACCATGTAGGTGTTTATACAATAATTGAAGAAATGTGTGTAAAGAACAACATCAAACAAAATTGCAAACAGAAGTATTCTCCACGGAGAACCATCATCAAGAAAACATAAGCATCAATTTGAGAATGAGAATCGCATTTCAACAGTTTTTAATAATCGTAATGATTATTTCCCTTATTGATTTTTTAAGAGGAGTTGCATATAATATTTCTATATTTTTTTATAATTTTACAATGCAATCATCTATTAAAATGAATTAAATCCTATAAATAAATAAATATTATTATATATTTTTTAATAAAGAAATATTAATTTTATTGCAAAATGTCCATCATGCAGTATTGTTATTCTTATAAAAAATAAAATAAATTCGCTACTAATATTTCTCAATTAGTAAATAAATGATGTAAGAATTTTTATTTCGTTTTGCTTTTTAATGTTAATGTAAATAGAGGATATAAATGAAATATAATCATAAAGAAACAGAATAAATACAAGTTAAACAGGATTTGGGATATTAGGATTCGTGATATCGGGCTTCGGGATATTAGGAATTTCGGGAAATTAGGAATATCGGATATTGGAATTCGGGAAAGTGGCTTTCGTGAAATCGTCTGGTAAGGACATATTTTATGTTGAATGAACTCAGCGACACAGCAGTAAATCGCATATTATCCTTTTTTAAAAAGAATGAATCTTCAATCGCGAGATTTTTTTTTATAATAATAAGGAAATTTTATCAATTTACTATTATTTTTTCTTTTTTTTTCTTTGTATATATACAATTTTTTTTGTCCTTTGTTAAAATAGCAAAACGAAAACATATAATAATAATATGGATGATGTAAATGAAGTAACCGAATTTAATATAAGAGGGACGATAGCAATATTAGTAATTTAGCAGTTTTCGTTGGTTTGGTAATTTATAAGCAAAAATTGTTCATCAATAAATAATAAAGTGGTCACAAACTTAGTATTGAACTAACTTTTATCCGATTTTATACAGTCTTTCGGATTCATGTTATACTAAAATTGGGACATTAAAGGGTAATTGAACAAGGAATTTATTGCGATATACAAGGGATCCTCATAAATTTAGGAGACGTTTCCTCGGGATTTTGGGAAATTTTAATATGCTTGCACACTTACATGCTCGTGATCGATTGTAAATATCCACAAATAGTATTCGTGTCCATAATAACCGTATAACCATTCAATAACTTAATATCGACTTTAGGTTTCGTTATCCAACTTACTACTTACTACAGATAACGGTAAAAGGTTTTATGGTAACGCGGAAGGTAGTTGGTGTTGTATTGATAAAAATAAAGATTTTCAAGAATATCGAAACTGGTTTTCATTACGGTATTGCTGCGGCCATGAGCATCATCTACGCCATCATGTTTGTGATACTGTACAAACGTAAAAAAACGGCAGAAAGAAGTCACGGAAGGGTTTTACAGAGAGTGAATTGAATATGAAAGCTTGTTTGGTACCAGTCGTCTATATCATACTCGTATTTCCATTAGCCCTTCGTAAGTTGTCCTTATTTTCGATTTTTATTCACACAAAGTATTACCTAACCGCGCGTTTCCAATCTTTTTACAGAACTTATCGTTGGTCTTGCTAATCAAAATTTAAATATTTGGTCTTCTACAGACCCCCGCCAAAAGTTTCCGAACACTTTTTTACCCAATATTAAACTCAAAATTTTTATGCAAAACAATAAAAAGTTTAT